GTTAACACCACAGTCATCCAACCAGTAGATGATGTCAAAATGGAGGCCATCGAAGCCGGAAATCCAAGTGATGAACTTCTTGAAGAAATGGCATCCGCCTTGGTTAAGGACATTTTGTCTAAGGCGTTGGCACAGACTCAGCAAGAGCTCCTTGTTGGTGATCAAGAAACACCAATCAGCGACACCGCAAAGGGTAAGAGATCTATCATTATAATACACGATGATAATATAAAATAACAGTTATCATTAAAAATGATGATAACAATAAAATAATTGTAATCCTACCAGATATTATCCAAAATGCATCCACCAAAGCCATTATTACCCCAGTTGAGGACCAACAAGTCTCCTCATCAGTCAACACCACAGTCATCCAACCAGTAGATGATGTCAAAATGGAGGCTATCGAAACCGGAAATCCAAGTGATGAACTTCTTGAAGAAATGGCATCCGCCTTGGTTAAGGACATTTTGTCTAAGGCGTTGGCACAGACTCAACAAGAGCTCCTTGTGGGTGATCAAGAAACACCAATCAGCGACACCACAATAGGTAAAAAATCTATTATAATAATAGATAATGATGATGATGATGATACTGTACAATAATATATATAATTTAAAATGATAATAATGATAAAATAATTATAAATCCTACCAGAATATACTATCCACAATGAAGCAACTGAGGCCATTATTACTCCAGTTGAGGCACCACAAGACTCTTCATCAGCAAACACCACAGTCATCAAACCAGTAGATGATATAGAAATGGAGGCCATTGAAAACGAAATTGCAAGTGATGAACGTCTTGAAGAAATGGCATCCGCCTTTGTTAAGGACATCTTGTCTAAGGCGTTGGCACAGACTCAACAGGAGCTCCTTGTGGGTAATCAAGAAACACCAATCAGCGACACCACAATAGGTAAGAAATCTATTATTATAATAGATGATGATGATGATAACGTACAATATTTATAATTTAAAATGTTAATAATAATAATAATAATAATAATAATAATATTTATAATCCTACCAGATATTATCCACAATGAACCTGCCGAAGCCATTATCACTCCATTCAAGGACCAACAAGTCTCCTCATCCGTTAACACCACAGTCATCCAACCAGTAGATGATGTCAAAATGGAGGCCATCGAAGCCGGAAATCCAAGTGATGAAATTCTCGAAGATATGGCATCCGTCTTTGTTAAGGACATCTTGTCTAAGGCGTTAGCACAAACTCAGCAAGTGCTCCTTGTGGGTGATCAAGAAACACCAATCAGCGACACCACAAAGGGTAAGAGATCTATCATTATAATACATGATGATAATATAAAATAACAGTTATAATTTAAAATGATGATAACAATAAAATAATTGTAATCCTACCAGATATTATCCAAAATGCATCTACCAAAGCCATTATCACTCCAGTTGAGGACCAACAAGTCTCCTCATCAGTCAACACCACAGTCATCCAACCAGTAGATGATATCAAAATGGAGGCTATCGAAGCCGAAAATCCAAGTGATGAACTTCTTGAAGAAATGGCATCCGCCTTTGTTAAGGACATCTTGTCTAAGGCGTTGGCACAGACTCAACAAGAGCTCCTTGTGGGTGATCAAGAAACACCAATCAGCGACACCACAAAGGGTAAGAGATCTATCATTATAATACATGATAATATAAAATAACAGTTATAATTTAAAATGATGATAACAATAAAATAATTGTAATCTTACCAGATATTATCCAAAATGCATCCACCAAAGCCATTATCACTCCAGTTGAGGACCAAAAAGTCTCCTCATCAGTCAACACCACAGTCATCCAACCAGTAGATGATGTCAAAATGGAGGCAATCGAAACCGGAAATCCAAGTGATGAACTTCTTGAAGAAATGGCATCCGCCTTGGTTAAGGACATTTTGTCTAAGGCGTTGGCACAGGCTCAACAAGAGCTCCTTGTGGGTGATCAAGAAACACCAATCAGCGACACCACAAAGGGTAAGAGATCTATCATTATAATACATAATAATATAAAATAACAGTTATAAATGATGATAACAATAAAATAATTGTAATCTTACCAGATATTATCCAAAATGCATCCACCAAAGCCATTATCCCTCCATTAGAGGACCAACAAGTCTCCTCATCAGTAAACACCACAGTCATCCAACCAGTAGATGATATCAAAATGGAGGCCATCGAAGCCGAAAATCCAAGTGATGAACTTCTTGAAGAAATGGCATCCGCCTTTGTTAAGGACATCTTGTCTAAGGCGTTGGCACAGACTCAACAAGAGCTCCTTGTGGGTGATCTAGAAACACCAATCAGCGACGCCACAATAGGTAAGAAATATATCATTATATTAATAATAAAAAATAATAATAAAACAGCATTTATAATGCGCTGTATATCTAACGAACTATTCCGAGGCGCAGTGACTTTCGACAAAAAGAAAAAGTATTTACTAATTTTTATGTTTTTATATTGAATAGTTAAAAAATCCAATACACAGAGGCAAAA